CGTACCTATGGATTTGCGGAGAGAATATGAGCTATAGGTTTAGGGTTTAGGGTTTAGTCTAAACTCCTAATAATGGAGAATCAAATGGAAAAGAAGATGGAACATGAAATGGAAACTAGGATTATATAGGGGATTAAAGGGGGTATTGTCTAAACTCCTAGTATCCCCCCTAATAACCCCTATGGTAGTCCCCTATATAACCCCCTGTAATGAGTTTAGACTATGGCTCATGTAAAGGTGACATTGATGCCTCTCCTACAAAGAACCCACAATCTCGGACTAATGAAGGCGAACGGCCTCTCTTGAGAACTCCGGCCGCTTTGGAAAAATGTGCGGGGACGAACGTTCCCGCTAGTTTAGGGATTTGGATAGCAACGTTGGGGACCAAGACCGATTTCTCATCGGCTTGCAATGTCAAATAAGATCCAGGTCCTGGCGAGACGTACCCCTCTAAGCATTTTTGAATGGACCTGAAGCCACATCACATTCCTTCACGATCCCATGCACTTTCATTGACCGTTACATGATGATTTTTGCGCTACATTTGAGGTGGGTGTGGCCTGCAGCATGGAGCGGAAACCCAAATCCCACAGCCGCACCATGACGTGGACGTGGCCACTCCTCCAAACTTTGGAGATCCAGGAATATAAATGTTTGAGGTTGAGGAGCTAGCCGTCGTATACTGGAGAGTTTACGGTCAGAGTTTAGGAGCTAAAGATGCTACGCCAATAATGAAGAATCAGCAGGAAAAGATTGTGGAAACTTAACTGGATACTGTGGCTATATCGGAGCTATAAGTACATAAATAATGGCATTGGGTCCTAAAGTCTACAAACAGCACCTACTTTGGGCGATATGGATCCCTAGGGAATGTTGGAAGCTTGGAGAGAAGTAGGTATCCCTATCTTGTCAGAGCCCTGCCTGGGTCAGAAGTATGGAGCATCCAATGGAAAGCAGTATTCAAATTACTACTGAGACACGTGTTTTAGGGTTTTGGGTTTTGGGTTGGGTACTCGTGTTCTTACAAGGTTTTCTAGGGTTTGGCTGCCGATTGAATCAGATTAGGTTGCGGGCCGGATATGTTCTAGTTTAGCTATAGATAAGCATGCTCACGTAGCAAGTAAGTATCCCACCAAAGAGTCCATGTGGGCGTTATCCGCTATTCAATATTACTTTAAAACAAATGACCTCTTCGCGGAAATCCAAAGTTCCTTTCGCGCACACCATCGCGAGCTTTCGGGGAAGAAAATCGATACGCCGAAATCCACAGTTCCTTTCGCGCACACTATCGCGAGCTTTCGCGGAAGCATGTCGATACTTCTTTCGCATAATCCAAAGTTCCTTTCGCACGCACCATCGCGACCTTTCGCGGAAGACCTTGTAAGCCAGCCGTGGTCGTTTTATATAAAATGTCCTTTTAGGGGTTTTTAAACGATGCCCATGTAGGTATATAGTGTATACCTTGGCCCTAAAGTGGTTGTATGGGAATCACTTTTGGCCCGAAGCATGCCGATATACTTACATGGACCCTGTGGGTATTCAAGCTGCTACATTTGACAGGTGCAAGGCTCTTGCTTGACCAGCTAGTTCTTCAATAAGTATTTGAGGCAAGGCAGGATGCAACAACTTTTCTTCTTCCCGGGAACCCTTCTCCCAAAACCCCAAACCCTTCGAAGCAACCCCTTCAGGGCTCGGATTTGTTGCACGGAAAGGCATGTCATGTCCCTCAAGCAAGCCGTGCTTCAACGACCAAACCCATGATAAGACATCCTGAACCCACAAGTCCTAAACAGAAAACCCTAAATCCTAAACCCTAAGCCCTTAACCAAAACCCTAAATCCCAAGCCCAAAGCAATTAACCCATCTCATGTGCACCCTGCAGCTTCTAAACCTCCCCATTTCAACCTATCTATCCTGCTTCAACCGTATAAGCCTCAAGCCCAAATCTGAAGTTCCTGGACCTCCAAGGTAGCACATTCTTAGATGTCCAAGTCCTGAAAGGTAGCGTTTAGGGTGCAGGGTTTGGGGTTTAGGATTTTGGGTTGAGGTTTTAGGGTTAAGGAGTTAAGGTTTAGGGTGCAGGGTTTAGGATTTAGGATTTTGGGTTTAGGGCACCCTGACCGCCAAAAATCGTACCTTCCCTCAACCCCCCCCCCCCACCCCCGGACCATGTATGGGTCCTTGCAGCTGCGATTGCTGCCGAAGCTGCATGCCTCTCGAGGATGGAGCGGCCACCACCCTGCTTCCATACTTTGAAACTTACTGGGGAATTACTTTGGGGTTTGGGGTTATATCGGGGTTCTATTGGGTTGTAGAGGGGGTATATAGGGATAATGGACAAGAAAATGGAAGCTACCATTTAGGTTTTAGGGTTGAGAGTGATGCATATATGCAAGCTGGGGCTTGGGGATACTACACCAGTAACTAAGAATCAGGAGAAGATGAAAACGGAAACCGGTCTTGTATAGGGTTTAATATGGGTACAAGATTACTTGGCGAGTCAGGGGGACTTAGTAAGTAATGGAGGAATGGGACAAGAAGATGGAAAGTTGTATGAAATTCAGGGCCTGCAGGGTTTGGAGTTGAGGGTTTAGTCTGGAGACTTCGTAAGTACCTACACCCTGTATGCTACTTAATAACCTCATACCATCCCCGTTCTTGGCGTCCTCTCTAAGTCCCCATGATCCTCCAAATAGTATTCTACCCGTATAAACCCCTATATGGGGCTTTCCCAAAATCAGTAATACCTTTCTGGGGGCCCCCATAATGAGGACTATAGTATTTGGGAGTCTATGTTGGGGTATTTTGGGAAACTACCATATAAACCCAGTTTCCACTTCATCTTCCACGATCTTTCCATTTGATTTCCCTGATAATGTCTCTATATGATGCCTATATATCCCTAGAAGATCCCTAGACATCCCTGCACATCCCCTGCAATTTCCCAACATAATCGCTATATATATATATATATAGTCCTCTACATTCCTTCTATACTCCTTATAACTAATCCTTGTATATTCCCTATACAATCCCTGAGGCGTTAAGGCCGAAACTGCGGAGACATGTGGGAAGTTGTTCCTGCTTGTGGGGGTCCTCCTTTTAGCATTTAGGGCTCAGGGTTTCCTAAACCCTAAACCCTAAACCGCAAGTACGGCCGTGATTTTTGGGATACCCGAAGACGGACCACAACTTTTAAGTCAGGCCTTCAGGGTGCAGAGTTTTGCTCTTTCGGTTGTGGGGACTCCCATAACCCCAAGGGTCCAAGGACCCAGATAATAGGGTTTTAGGGCCCAAATACTATAATATCAATGGTATTTGGGCCCTAAAGCCCTAGTATTTGGGTCCTTGGACCCTGAGGATAAGGAATCCGCCGTCCTGCTTCCCGTAAGACCAGGAAAAAACATGCAGATACATACCTTCACCCTAGCTATAGGGCTTCAGTTACCTAAAAAAGGGTTCTGGGTTCTATACAATGTAATTACATCCTACTGTTTAGGTAACTGGGAGCCCCAGGGTAAACTTTTTATCCTAAACAGCTGCCACTAGGATCCCGTTTAAAAAAAAAAATGTAAGGGCTGTGGAAAAACTTGAGACGCAACCGGGCCAAGCCCCAAAGCGCCAACAACATGAATAAAACTAGCCTTCTCCTTCAACATCCCAAATTCCTGAGCGCAACTGTTCGCAACATGCACATGTCCCTGTTTCTCGCTGCCACCCTCTTCACCGTAAATATCTCTAAGGCCTTTTGAATTCAAGGGTCAGCTTAGGACGTCACCTGGCTCAACAGAAGCTCCAGTACTTCAAGTCGCCCCGCTCTTGCAGACAGGACGAGGAGAGGCTTCGTAACCTCCTGTTTAGGGTTATGGGCAGGGCTGGGTAAATTGGCTTTGGGGCTAGGGGGTAATGATCGGGGTGCCTGGTGCTTGGAAGGGAGTATGCTATTCATGTAGGGTTTAGAGCTCACGGTAGTGACAGTCTTGCTGATGTTTGAACTGCGTCTATCTGTACATATGACCCAATTACGAGCCTTTAAGTTCTCCAAAAAACTTATACCTAAAATTGTAACTAGGTTGTAAGTAAACGAGGTAGACCTACAAACCACAAAGCCTACGTGAATCAAGGCTTAAAGCTTAGGGTTTAGGATTGTAGGTTCCATGTTGCTTTCCAGTACCCCTATCAAACCCTATGAGCCCGCTACCCTAAGGGTCCAGGTACCTAATAATCATATACTTACCCAAAACATATACTATAATTACTATTACCCAAAACCCAAGGTACCCAATTACTAGGTACTTGGACCTTCTGAGCTCTAGCTACCCGAGTAGTAAGCAACACCCCAACAAGGTGCTCCTGAGCAGACAAAAGCTCCTGCAGCTCAGCAACCTTGTCATGGATTTAGGGTTTAGGGTTTAGGGGTTTTAGGGTTTAGGGTTTGGAGTTTAGGGTTTAGGGTTTAGGGTGCAGGAAAGGTCAGGGTTCCGAAGAATACGGCTCTCTTATCCGATTCCTTTTGCTCGGGGAGAGTATAAGAGTAGGTCTTATGAATATATATACTTATTCCTTATGGAAGGTCAGGAGATTAAGAAGCAGAAAGCTGTATATGTGTATGTATCCCTAAACCCTTAACCGTATATAAATAAATAAATACACATCCAGCAATGACCCAGTCATGGGGTACCTTCAGGAATTCCTGGCAAATATGGAGATGACAGCGGGACATTGGAGCGATATGCTATTTCCAAGACACTGGGTTGCTGTTCAGGGCCTTAAGTTAAGTTGCCATAATGTGGGTGAAAAAAACAAGGTTTCTTTATAGTAGTAACTTAGTTTAAATCAGGTTCCCTAACAGCAGCCCAAGACGCTGTAGATAATGGTTTCTCTTGACAAGGACTGGGACCTCACGTTCATTTCTCCCAGCCCGCCCACGTGAGGATGTTTTGTCCAACTGCTGCGTCCAACTGCTGCGTTTTCACTGGCTGCCGGGGAAAGAATGTCTAGCATCCGCTCATAGAGGAAGGATGGAAACTGCTCTAAACATGTGACATCAATGCCGTACTGTTTATAACCAATTGTAAAACACTGAGGCAGCCAAATTGCACGTTGTCAGTGAGGACGCTTATAATGTCATGTCAGTTGAGTCCTCACTCTTTCCGTCTTCATGAAGTTTCTTCTTTCTGGAAGACCCAAGACTTGCTGATTGTTTTGCCTACACTGAACATCGACACGTGCCATGTCATGTCAAGCGAATCCAACATTGCCGTCAAGCAAATAAAATCCTTGATTGACAGTCGCCAGCGCACCCCTCAAAACACAAAAACTGAGCGTAGCATTCAACCTTTGAATTTTTTGAAAATGGTAGTCGGTTGTCATGGGCTTCTTCTTGGCTCTTGTCGTTGCAAGCGCCAGATCAGGGCGCCTCAGAACAATACAATGCACATTATCTTCAAGAGTATGCATGATTCTGCGAAACCGAAACATGTACGGTAGAAGCCCAAGCCTGAACAATTGCGGGTTTGGGTTTAGGGTTTAGGGTTGAGGGTTAGACCTATCCTACAGTACTACAGCTGCCGTAAACTACAACGCAACAGCCGTATAATGTAGGCCCATGCGCCATGTTAAAACTGAAGGCGTTTGCACCAGGATTCTGCTCCCAAGATAGATCCGGGAGACATTTCCATCCGCTACAGCATGCATCCTTGGTCCCGATAATTGGGAGTTCAATGCAGCACAGGGCTTCTAAAACTTAAGGGGTCCTTTTTGGAAGGGTTCGTTTATGAATAACATATTTGGGGACATATAAACAGGCTCTGCCCATCTCAATACATTCAGAGAATATGAGATCTTCGCGAAACATGATTATCTTGAGTAGGTATCTTGGTGTACGTAACGTAAGCAGCAGGCTCCACGGCCGAGGAGAAAGAAGAGGGCTGGGGGGTGAGGCTTTGGGCTGAGGGTGTTCGTCAACTCGCGAAGTAGGTGACCTGCAGTCTTGTTTGGGTAGGTGTCAAGTAACTGGCTATAGTCCCCCTTAAGTAAATAGAATATGGCCTTGGGTATATTATAATAAAATCCCCATGTACCCCATATTCTATCTACTTAAGGGGGACTATATATTGAAAAGATTAACTTCCTTGCGGGCAAGGAACTCTGTAGTTAGGTATGAAGTGTATGTTTTTGTGCTGTGGCGTGAATGTTTGCGGTAGGATGAAAGAGTTCGGTTCCCAGGCAGGAGAACTATTCATGGATCAAATCTGGCACGACCCTACTTACCCTTGATCCTAGGAACCACTCTACATTTCAGCTCCTGATGTGTGCAAGATTTCCTCCATGCAGCGAGGGCGGGCGCCCAGATGATTCTTAGGCTGAGCTAACCTTTGCTGCTGATATTTCTGCTCTGTCATCATCCTTACATCGCTATCTAGTAATTGGCCACCAAAACCATATTCCAATCATTTACCGGCAAGTACTCGGCCATGATTAGGCAAGTCCTGTAGACAGCTTGATCACCCCGAAGACTTTAACTTTAAAATGGAAAAGAATCTGCAACATGACATAGAAACTGGGATCTTAACGGGGATCACGCCAAAGACTTTAGCTTTAAAATGGAAAAGAATCTGCAACATGACATAGAAAGTGGGATCTTAACGGGGATCACGCCAAAGAAATTAGCTTTCACATGGAAAAGAATCTGCAACATGACATAGAAACTGGGATTTTAACGGGGGCTGATAGGGCGTTTAGTCTACGGAAAATGATACAAATCCAGAGAAAGACCTCGGTGACCTCTGGACACCCAGCAGCTGCTAGATATAACTCTCTTGAAGTAGGATGCTTAGGCTGCATGGCCCCCTACACAAAAAAACCGTGCTGGGTGCTTCTCAAAGTTGCACCGCCCTTGACCCTTTAAGGCTTTGGGGGGTGGTCTTTTGCCCAACCTGTAACTCAAGCCAGGCGTCTCTACCCCCCACTGCGCAGAATCGCCGCCCTCCCAGCCTGCTGCCAGTCCGAAATCGTCCAAATTCCAGGTAGCGTGCCACCTCGTAGAAGAATGGCAGGGTTCAGGATGGGTTTAGGGTTTAGGGTTTAGGGTTTAGGGTTTGGTACTAGGCCCCTCACCCAGTAGCAGTCTATAAAAGGACTAGTAGTAAGAGCTTTACATAAAATACACGTTAGGGCAACCCTCATCCCCTGTCAGCGCCAGGACCTGCAAGGGAACATTGGACTAGGAACTGCAAATGATCTCTCCTCGCCATCATCTCCCTGACGGCAAGCCACAAGAACAGCAGTTTCTGTTCAGCCTTGCAGCTCAAGGCTTGCTTAAGTCGTGCAGTTAGTTAACCAATCCATTTGTGTCCAGGTACCCAAATAGTAAGGCTTTAGTTTACCTACAGCCCCAATACTTGGGCACCGGAACTTTCAGGGTATGATGCCTTCTATCTAGTTATTGAACGAAACAGCTCCTTGGAGAGTCATGGAGAGTTTGTTATCTTACGACTTGTACGGCTTTTAGTGTCCTAAATTGGCCTCTAAACCCTTATCTCAAACCCCCAGCCTTTAAACCCCCAGCCTGAATTTGAAAAAATCGATTCTCCAAGCACATATTGAGTCCAGGGCACCACCCAGCAGGCACAAAGACAATCTCACCAGGATGCGCCACGCAAAGCAGGAGCCCTGCAGGTCGCTGTCGAAGGTACCTATTAGGGATTTAAACTTAAACCCTAGGCCCTAAACCCTAAACACATAACAGAGTAGGCTTAAGGGGAAGGTGTTTACGCTTCAAGATGTACAGCTCAAGACTTGGGGCAGAGGATTTAGGATGATAAGATTCATGATGCAGAGTTTAAAGTGCCCCTCGTACATATATATATATATATGTATGTGTGTATGTATATGCATATACACATCTCCCAATATAGCAGTATGTGTAATATATATATACATATAAAGTTAACTAAAGATATATATATATATCTCTCTCTCTCTCTCTCAATATGGCCCAACCATCCTGTATGGCCCTTATTACTTCAGAAATTCCCGGGCGCTGCCATGGAGCCATGGACGGCGGTCGCTTACCACCTGGCTCATTGGGGCAGGGGTTTAGGATTCAGGGTGTTTAGGGTTTAAAGTTTACGGCTTAGGGTTTAGGGTGGTTTGGCGGGACCCCCTTAGGGGGCATAAAAGTTTTTGGGGAAATGTAGGGCTACGGTCTGCCATGGGGCTCCTATAAACATCCTTTTCGGGGCTTGTTCTGTTTTTGGGGGTAAGGAATTAATTATGATACACGGCCCAAGAAAGGCACTGCATAGGAGCTCTGGGGCAGAATTTAGGGTGAAGGGACAGCGGCTTTGTAGGGGTTCATACGTATGCAGAGGGAGAGCAGCTTATGTTTTGAGTGTATTTGGGGATATATAGGGGGGGTATTGCTTATAGGGGGTAGGTACGTATGTATATGGTTTGCGCCTACACTTCAAAACTAACGTGGAACCTGGAAAGGGGCCATCGTGGAAACGTATATTAGCGTTTAGGTTTTGGGAGTTGTTCGAAATAATTGTCCCCAAAACAGTCATAAGGTAGGTTCCCTATTTGGTCAAGTCCCCCTTTAAGGAAGTACATTCCCAATGGTTCCTTCTTTACAAGGACCTGCCTAGAACAACCGCCTAATGTGCATGGGTTGTATGCCACTGTGGAGTTGCATGGACTTTCATGTTAGTTTGGGAGATGGGAAATTGGAATTCAGTCGGAGAGGCACATTGCTCTCCAGAATATGAGGTGCCAAAGCAAGCTGGTGGCTCCTTTCGGATCCATGAAGGGAGGTTTGACAGGCCCCTGCCTAATTCCAATGATGATGATGATGATCATCATCATCATCAGAACCAGGGCAGCAGCAAAAGCACTAGACTTACTGGTAGGGAATGGAGGAATGGATTCATCAAGTAATGCTAGACAATCCCGAATCCTATAGCAATCTTATATGAGTATACGTGGTGACATTAGTCCCTCCAATTCACCCGACACCAAATCTTCTTGCGTGCGGTTTGGGGTTTAGAGTTTAGGCACCTGAAGGCCCCTGCCTCGAATCAGTCACATCCCTAAGCCCTCCAAGCACAGGCATGAAGTCCTTGTTCTGCAGGCCGGGACTATAGTCCCCCCTTAAGTAGATAGAATATGGCTTTGGGTACATTATAGTATATACCCCATGTACTATCTACTTAAGGGGGACTATAACAAGATAGCCCGCGTAACCTCGGAGCCCTGAACCTTGACCCTCTATGACCTGTTGTTCCCCTAGGGGCCGTAATCCTCATCCCTGAACCCTAAACCGCGTAATCCTCATACTACAGGGAACTAAATAGTTACCAGCATCGTTTTGAGGTACCATAGACTGTAATTATGTGAGGATATGGAACCATAATCTCGGTAATTATTTAGGTCCCTATATTAATCCTGACACACCCAGCCCCGAACCCTGAAAAGCGCCGCCTGGCACCAAGAGCCAAAGCTTCCGTCCCTGAAGCTGAGCTAACCAGGCTGCACTGTGCCTGTAACTATTATGGCTTGTAGAGTTGGTGTTTAGGGTTATACAAGGCCATGTCGGGTATATCGCGGGTACGGTATGTAGGGCTTCGGGATTGGCGTTCGGGGTTGATTGGCAAGCCTAACCTTCAAGAGAAGGACCCATTGACTCTTAGGATTATGAGCGTCCTTCTTTCAGGCGGGCTGGGGCTGATTAATGAACCCCCTCCCCTTAGTGAGGATTATAATGAGGATCCTAATATTAAAGGGGGGGTTACTAATCATGGGTCTACATTAGGCAGTGTCTTCCCGGACGGTAATTCTTCATTGGGCAAGAGGTTCAATTATTCGGATGTCCTTACACCTGCGGTACCTGCACGGAACAGACTATTGATGTCCGTTGACTTACATACAATACCAGAGCGGGTCCAGGTTGTATGTTTTACACTATGACACTATGAAAGGGGTTCCCATATACCTACTTTAAGGCCCACGTATATACCTTATAGCTACATGGACCCTTTGGGAAGATCTGTCTAGCTGCAACGCATCCTGTCCCCAAAGCCTGTTTTCATTGAAGTTTGCATGGTCCATCCCATGACAAAAGACTACTATTACCCATATTCCCTAAACCTTCCAACCTAAACCACCCTGGCACCCTAGCCCCCCTCTCTTGGAAATCCCAGCGACAGTCCTGGCATAATTTTGTAGACGTATATACTTGCCTAATGTATCACTTAAACGCCTCTTGGATGCTTGAACCCGCCTCAACGCTGAACAGAGCACGTGTCATTTGCGCCTGTGGAAGCCGATTCCCGTGTCCCGGCGCGAAATGCTGAGGATCGGAGCCCCATGGACGCCTGCCTGGTACAGCTTCACTTACTGCTCGCAAGGGAATTGGTGAGTTCATTCCTATAATAACTACCCTACACCGTTTGCACATGCAAGCGGACTATAGCATGTATATTCTCTCCGCCAGTCCCCCTTCACTGCCAGTAAGCCTGGGATGCTGCGTAGGCTGGTATATGAAGCAAATGGGGTATCGAGGTAGTTGAGCAGCAACAGCAGTTTTCCAATGTTTTAGGCACCGCTCTACGGCCAAAACAAGCGCCCCTTCAACTCTGGAAGCAGGAGCCCTAATTTTGAGGAACCTTGACACGTTTCCTTGTCACTTTGTAAGCCCTACTTAACCCCAAGAGAAACCCTGATGATGTGACCGAGGGCGCCCAATTTCCATCCAAGCTGCTAAGAGCTCGGGCACGCCAAAGCCTGCTTCCATGGGGCGGGCTGTAGCGGGATGTAGATACTTCGAGGGTTTTGGGGTCACCAGACGGCTTATAGGGGTTATTAATAACCTTTTCACCAAGTTCCCCCGACCCTTCAAGCAGGGGGCAGCACCCAAAATTAGTACCACAATGTTGGTCACCTATCAGTTGGGATTTGAGGTCTATGGTATAGGTTTTAGTCCGTGTGTGCTTCAGGCCGAAAAGCATTTTTCACTTTGGATCTTAGATGCAAATGTTTGTTCGCACTGAGCGATGTCACTGCAGGCAGTACTGCTACAGGCATGTGGCAATGAAAAATCCGGGTATTTCAATACGTATAGTAGCATTGTAGCATCTTCAGAAACCTCCAGCCCTGCTGTGAGAACTTACTACACAGCAAGTCTAAAGAACAGTCTCTGCTAGGATGAACTTCAAGCGTCTGATGAGGATACATTGCACCATCCTCAGGGCCCCTTGACTGCAAGAATTCCTGGCATTTGAGGCGCTTTGGGTCGGGTGGGGTAGTGTACCCTAAAGACTAAATCCTGATTTTCTTCATCAGTTGCACGGGAGATCCAATGGCCTTCAAGAAGTAAGTGTCGGTTGCTCTCGAAGTCATTCTCAAACACCACAGCCCTGCCAGCACTCTTGCAAAATAGCCAAGAACTAGAATGGAGCTGCAGCAGGCTTCATGCAGGGACCCCGAAGAACACATCAGTAGCACCCAATTTGCAGTAGACTTGGAGGGGTCACAAGGGCCTAGGGCTGAGGGAGGGACATAAGGCTTGGGCTCTCAGGGTCGGACCCTGATCAAAGTCCTCGGCTCCCTAAACCCTAAACCCTAAACCGCGGATGTTGACCATGAAGCAATACCAGGTGCTCGGGATGAAGGTGATGGTTTGGGAAGTTTTCAAGATCACCCGCCTTCTTCTGGGCTCCTTGTGATGGGATGTATTGGGTTTAGGGTTTAGGGTTTAGGGTATTACAAGATGAAAGTCTGGCATGGATACGTGCAAGTGCAAGCTTTGAAGCGACCTCCATCTGAACCCAGCCGGGGCCTGCCAACATCGTCTCCACACAGGTAAGACCGCAGGGATGTGTAGCTCCGGGACCTGTGCTTGCTTTGCACCCTTGCAAAAGACATGCTATCTTTAATTGCTAGGCGTCCCTTGGGCAGGTCTATTTTGTAATTACTTTGTTGCAGAAAGGCCAACTGCGTGTTGAACTCAGGGTAGAGAACAAGAACAACAAGTTCCAACTAGAGTCTAGTGACGGGCCGGCGTAGCCATACTGGTGCAGCGTTTGGCAAGGACGCAGACGGAACTCCAAGTGCCTTCGCTCTAGCAGTCACCAGCGCAAACAAGAGCATAGTCATCAGCCATACGAACCCTTTACAAAGAATTAGAGCTTGGAATGTGTGTTCCTCTTGGCCCTGCATTCTATACACTCGTGGACGGCTGCAAATGCCCACCTCAGGCAACCTTTGCCAAGTAGTGAATAGCAGCAAATTGGAGGTTTGAGGGTTCAGGGTGTTGGATTACGGGGCTACGTACGGGTTTGAGGTTCCAGGTTTAAGGTCTCCAATTGGGAAAGCTACATATGAGCTAAAGTCCAAACTCCTAGTATCCCCTTAATAAATCCTATAATTGTCCCCTGTATAATCCCCTATATAATCACCTGCACGGAGATTGGACCATAGTACAAATTATGTCGGAGGAAAAACTCTCTCTGGTAGTGCCAGGATGCCCAAAGTGTTCCACAACATAGTCTCCTTAGCTGCTCGCAAAGACTTAAACAGTACTAGCTGGCGCAACAATTCAGATCAGCTGCCGTCATAATGCAAAGTACTTAAGGTCAAACCACTTGCAAACAAATGAGGTTAATTGTAGAAAATCCTGGTGCTCCAGGTTTACAAATCATACCTTTTCGGGCCCTAAACTCTACAAACAGTGGGTTATCTTGGTGGAACGGACATTGGGGAGCTTCCCCGTTAACAGCCTTGCTACTCTCTCACTACAAGGTCCCTTGACCTCCCACCTTCCTACCGGACTTAGTTTGTAATACTCTGGAATGGGGGTTTGGGGTTTGGGCGCACTGCATTCCCCAAAGAATCCTCGCATCATGCAGCCCTAACGGGATGCTTCGCCAAACCTAGAACACAACATCTCTACACATAAAACCCTCGAGCCCTAAACCCATACAACCTAAAGCGTAAACATTAAATCGTAAACTCTCAACCCACGCGCCGAAACTCCTCCCTACGTATTCAAGCTCGGCT